TGAATAGAATAGTCAGGAGCAGCCGAAGCGATGCGTGTATCGGCGCAGGAGATGTGGAGACGAGAAGGTTGCCGTTTGCAGACGACCTTGTTTTGTTGGTATCCTCTGAAACTGGTCTACAGCGCTGTCTGGAAAATTTGTAGCAGCCTGCAACATGTCAGACATGACTGTGGACGTAACTGAAACGTAAGGCTAATGTTTTCTGATTCTATTGCCCGTTGCTCTCTTGAGAGAAATGGAGAAACAGTGGAGCAGGTGGAGAAGCAAAAGCACCTCGGGGTCGTGTTTACTGATGATGGAAAACGGGAGGAAGAGATCGATTTGCGGATTGGAGTAGTCAGCTGCATTCTGCCCGAACTATCACGAGCGGTTGTGACTAAGTTAGAACTGATTCTGATGACTTAGCTCTCAGTATTCAGATTGATCTTCACTTCTTGCCTACTTTCGGTCATGAGTCGTGAACCACCCACTGAAAAACTACGATCCCGTGTACAAGCATATGAAATTGGCTAAGCATACGCTTCTCGACATGACCCCGAGTACAGAAATTTGGGAAAGCCATGATGTGCAATCACTGCTTCTTCAGATTGAGAAGTCAAACCTGCAATGGTTTGGGCACGTCTTGCGAGTTCTTCCAGAAAGGAAGATGAAGCAACTGCTATTTGCTCATCTGACTGGCTGAAAACTCTGAGCAGGGCCAAGATTAACCCTGGGGAGGGGCAAATGTGCTGAAAGAGAATGATCTAGACTCCGCTAGCTTCTTGCCGAAGTTCTGACTTCGGCATAAAATCAGAAACGTTGGAAGCACTGTCTGACGCATCTGCCTCCACGAGACGAAAGTAGAACCAGTCAAGGAAGATGAAGTACATTTCGCTCTTTTGAACTCTTCTGACGAAGAAGCAGTCACGCAGTGATACTTCAGCTCATATGGCGCTTCATGTTGCTTAATAAAAAGGATCTGTTAGGTTTACGACTGTTCTTAGAATTCGGCGCAATTGCCAAGGATGAGATTTAACTTATAATTAAGTCTTCATATTTGCTGCTCGTTGAAACAGAAGTTTTTTCCATCAGTTTGTTAGTCAAATACATATTCTGCTTCAAGGCAATTCCTACTAATACTACTCATGGTTTAAATATGACAATAATATTTCAAAATACATCTTATGGGGCATTTTTTCCAGATTTGTGCAGTCTAAGGATTGATTGCGACAAGAAAGATGGAAGTTATTTCTGAAATACCTTTGACACGCAGGAGATAGAACGTGTGAAGTATGAGCGATGACGGGTCTCGGAATTAATGGAACACTGTCGTAAACAAGATGCCTACAGACTTCATTTACATAAGATAAAATGTTATCTTCATCTTTCAACATACTGCTTTGTTTCTCATGTGCTCTTCAATATTGCGCCGTAGAAATGATGAAAAGTAGCCAAAAATACTCGATCACTAACGATTGATTCATAACGTTTCTGGTAGGACTTTCATGTTGGACGGTAATTATAAACCATCACAGGTACATTTATTAAAACCTTCGTGTATTCAAGATGAAATTTCTATCGAAATATTTGAAAATACTTCGAAGATTTCAAAAGACCGTTTTTCCCGCCATTAGAAACGATCAAGCATTAATTGCGGAAACGCAACGAAGACTTGAACACTAGCTAGATTGATCGATGTGAAGGTGCCAGCAATTCGAAATGGCTGTGAAAGTTCTCCCTGGTAGCTTATTGAATCTAAACTAAACGGGTCACCATCTTGAGATCGAAAAATTTTTCGAAAAGCTATATGATATGACTGCAGACTAAAAGCCTATGGCTTCCAGCTACTCAAAATGGTGTTTGTTCTTCCGCGGAAGTGAAGTTATAGATTTTAATTTTGAATTCAATAAACAGTTAACAAACAATCGCATATTTATATATCATAATATTCACATCCTATGTTAGACGTTGCACTGATGATTTTGGCGTGTGTCATCACTACGTTAATGTAAAGAAGCAGAATATCACTTCCAGTGTTTGCTCTTTGTGAACGCATCTACACTACTTCTGCATGATCTACAACTGCTCATAATGGGTGAAAACTGCGCAACAGATTGATCATGATCAGCTAATTTAAGCTTTGCCTCTACAGACAAAATTGCATATTGACGATTAACGACGGAATAGTGGGGGAAGTCGCCATCACTCGAGTGAAAAGATTACGCACAGCGATAATGAATGCAATGAGGTGTTTGTGCTTCAACTGCGGCATGCCAAAAGCAGCGTCAGTGGTCGTCCCTCGACTGGCCTCAGCAGAAGTAGTAGCGAACATGAAGCAGCGTGGAAAAGGAATTGCGGCGTAGACAAAATACGGGGCCGGATTGCAGGAAATCTGATCGAGGTTGGTTGGCGGCATCGACCGAAAACACTCAGGAGTCCGATAGCGACATCGAGTAGAAGCATCGACGGTATGCCCAATGATATTCGAAACAAATCGGTCATTCATCAATTGGGCAATGCCCTTCTGTTACCTCTTTGTCTTGCAGCATTGTTTTCGCCTGTA